GAGAGGGCTAGCCACGGCAAAACTTTTGTCCATTCACGGCCGACACGCTCCTAATTGGGAGTACGCTCCGAGGTCTCGTTCCACGCGCACGGATGCTGCTGGACCAGACCGGAACTGATACTTAGGAATCGTATTTCTTTTTCCTCGCGCTCTCGATTGACACTCATCGTCGAGTGATAAAGATCTTTTATTTGTGAAACCTTTACAGTAGTAACAATGTTAATCACCAATCGAAATAACCTTTTCTTTGGAAAATAAATATTCTTAAATAAAAATGCTATTGTAAGTTCCGTGCGTGTTTAAAGGTAAATTCAGATAAAGAAGTATATAGATTAATAATAAAAAAAAATAATAAAAATTAAATTTGTTAGCATCAAAGCAGATTCGAACATGCGAAAACTTATTTTTGCGCAAAAGAGCGTCCTTTATATTCCACACGTCAATGTATGTATATTTGTCGGCATTCATGCATGCTTATCTAAAGGAAGTTATATTCACTACATACACATTCACATCTGTCAATGCAATTTCCGTTCAGTGAACAGAAAGTTTGATCACTAGAATTGAATGTAGTGTTTTTTTTTTCAATCATGGTCTTGAGAGTTGCTATTTCGTGTCGAAATTGCAGACATTGTTGCAACGATTTTTTTACAGATTTGTTTTATAGAAACAGGATGGATTCGCGACGACCTAATTTTGCAAAATGTTGCACGACTAGCTGGATTTGAATGTACAGAGAGTACAAAAATCGTTATCTGATATTAATTCTTCATTTATGACACGATGCTACAAATTATTGCTGTTATTTTATAAGTATTTGCATTTGAGAAACATTCTAAAAATAATTCAACTTTCATTGTAACTTGCAAAATTTTGAAAAAGTTTGCTAAAGAATGCTCATATGTACAATAGTAAAATAAACAATAGAACAAATAGTCTTTTGACAAAATATTTTGTAATAAAAAAGATTTAAGTAATTATGAATCAATTGATTCGGGGGAAATAATTCATGAAAATATTACGTTTTTGTAACGTGAGATTTTTATGTTGTGCAATAATGACGAATCAGCGTCAATATGAAAGTCAATATGATGATGTCGAGAAATGTACCATGCTAACGAGCTGGGAGACTCACTCGATTGTCGTCGATAGTGCGCGAGTCAGAAAATTGCGCTGCAATCTTCTGCGCGTCGCCAGACGGAGCAACGTACTTTATACTATCGTGCGTTTTGTCATATGGATGCTTTATGGAATTACTATGAAAGAAACTACTCTCACAGTTAGAGACTCGTCGAAAAGAACCTAGTGTATAATTCCTATTATAATCATAGTCTTTCGCCTTTGCTAGTTATGGCTCTGATCTAATGATGCCTCTAAAATGGCAAGCCATTTGCAACTATGCTTGATTTAGAAACCGCATCGAATTAAAAGTACAAATTCACACTGCTCAACTACCGCGTCGCAGTGAGAGACGTTAATTCGCTTTCACGATTTTACACTTTAGTCGGAAACGTTTTGGTGCATTATATTATTCAGACGTTACTTTACTTTATACTATTCAGACGTTACATTTATATTACTCAGACATTGCTTTTTATCGTACGAATAATTTTAGAATAATCTTATTAAAATGATTGAAAAAAACATACTGAACAATCTAATTATTACGACATCTTATTTCTAACAAAATGTGACTTTTATATTAAGTATTAATCTTAATTCGTGCTTTCTGTCTCTCTTTCTTCCTCTCCCCCCCCCTCTTTCTCTAAATTATATACTTCATTTTTCAATTAGTAGAATATAAAAAAAAACCTGTTATAACATAAAAATTGCATAATTTTGCCAACAGTTGATATTTAAAGCTTAAGATTTATTCTAAAGAAATTTCAATTTTCCCAGGTTAGACGAACAGCGTGCTTACGTCATTAGCTTGCAGCCTAATCAATAGACATAATTATGAAACTATGCACCATTAATAGTCCTAAGCCGCGCGGGTCATAATCTCGTGGTGAAGGACGGTGGCGGTACTAGTTCGCGCGTTATTAAGCGGGTGTATTTTATAGGAAACCGGTAGTTGGGTAATAACGAGCGAGGGTTGCCAACGTTCGATTATGGTTCCTTAACATTATTACATGCTAAAAGAGAATAACTAATAAAATGCACTGCATTGTGCCTTCCAAGCAATATCGAATATCTCAATTATGATGTTAGAAAATCTTAACACTTAACTTAAAATTTATATCTGTCCCTATATTGATAATAATATTAGTTTATTAACTTACATTTTATAATATTATTATAATTGTAAATACAATCTCTGAGTAAAAAAATTTGAAAAGCAGGATATATTTAAAACGAACAAATATATATATCTTGTTTTTTTTTTTAATAAACAATCTTTGAAAATTAATGTTTTATTTTCCAATACATAATACACAGAAAATATATTGAGTTTATTGTTTGAACTAATTTATGACATGATAAATTATGAATTATTGAAACATCCGGTAAAATATCGAATTTTTAACAGAAAGTCGTCGTTCATTGACATCTGTCCGATTCTTCCTTTTTTTCGTCTCGTAGTTGATTTTCCGCTAATCAAAGGATGCGACAATCGTTTGCATTTCCTGTGGCCAGTCATTAACATCGGCACGTTTCAGTGGGGCTTTATCGTTTATCAGCTAGCGACAATCCCCTTCTATGTCGGCCACTTTGCCGCAAGTCGGCCACGCCATCCCCAAATCGCTAAACTATCCTCCAAACACCAAGTACCGCACTAGGGAAACTTCGACGTTAGCCACCCTCACACCTTTGGCGTTTGACCCTAGAATCGGCCAAGTGGCCGAGAATCTGACCAACGAGCAATTACGGACGAGGTGTCGAAAGATTTTGCGGTGGAAGATTTACCACTAACGGACATTATTTACAGATATTATTGACTGACAAAGCAATTCTATTTTTGAGATATGTGCCCACGATTCGCTACTCGATAGTAATGTTTGACAAAACGTTTCAAACGTACAAATTATCTTAATGAGCAAGCGACTTATAAATCATGCTGCATACTGACAGCTATACATTCGTCAACCACGGACATGTTAAATCCTTTTTAATATCTTCCCATTTTACCTTCACGAGAAATGACAGATTATTTTTTTTTTTTTCTTACCAATAGTCAACGATACAAATAGTTGCAATGACGGGACTTACAGCAAATGACCATTGGCCTTAATAGATATCAATAGCTCACGTTATTCGTTAATATTGTCAGAGAAACGCAGTGATTTAATTTTTCCTCATTAATTGTTCTCGGTGTACGTACCGATTCGTCAACGGTTACCGAAACAGATGAATTCATATGAATGCTTATGAAATACACTCGTAAACAGCACGTTGTTATTAACCTGCTCCGATATTCCGCCTGTCAATTAAATTCGTATGCTTGCTTTAAGAATCGCGATGTCAGTGATGTGACAGATGAAACATTTTTATTTATTCGGCAAGTAAATTTTACCTAAAATTTAATGTAAAGTTGCACGACAGTTGGGAAAATCCGATATATAGTGATCACTAAATAACGAATATATATGATTTTGGAGCAAAGAGATCATAAATATTAATAATTTATTTTTCTCTGAACTTATTTTAATAAGTAAAGTATTAATATGGCATACAGTAGTAGAGAGGAGAGAGAATCTAACGTGTATTAAAATTTAGCTTTTAGATCTGATGATGCTCGATTTTCGAATGGTAATATATTTCTCATTTATGCTGTGAAATGTTATTAATAATCTTATATCAATCTTTCACTTTCCTTCATGGGCCATATTCTTCATTTACATTCGCAATCAATTAAAATATTCGTCAGGATTTTGAAGATGCAAAAACAAATGTAAAATTTATCTATTTTACAGTAGATTATATTTAATCGCAGTACAATTGTAATATGTCACGTACACGAAGCTAATCTTACCTAGTAGTTGCTAATAGATACTCTGTGCGCGAATATGCACGAGTCATCGTTACCGGTAATAAATATAATGCTGAACATTTTTATCGGTTTTTTATTCAGCTCTATATTTAACATTTTGATAGCAGTATAACATACATTCTTTTTATGCTTTCCGTAATTTAATTTTGCAATTATCAAGACCGCAATGCTATCAATAATCAACGGTATCAGAATATCGAAGCGACATTTATAGCGCAAAACTACCGTGTGTAAACAGAAAACGCAAGGCTCTTCAAAGTGTGTGTATTTTTCTTTCGTATTACGTGGACGGTCTGTCCCATCGCGTAAATACCGGCAACGTATCGAATAACTGTGTTACCCGCATCGAGTAGATTTTCTGATTTAAACGTTCCTACTAGCAGCGTACGCGTGACACGGTCGAACCCTCCGGCAACCCTCCGGGATTATCTCACCCTATGCCAACGCGGAGCGGCCCATTTCCGGATATCCATATACGTAGAATAAACGCACATCTATGAAGTTCTCTCTCTCTCTCTCTCTCTCTCTCTCATTCACTCTCTCCCTCTCATTCACTCTCTCCCTCGCAAAATACACCCAATCGGCACAATCATGATCACTTTGCTCTCGCGTGACCCAAAATACTCGCTACTCAGCCTATCCGCACTAATCCTCGTCACCGAAGCAACGTGCACGCAGCACAACGATCGCGATCACTTTTCTGTCACGTAACGAAAGGATATCTTCTCTACATTCGCACTGATGGGCAATGCAAGATTCTTTTCCGGCCAAATATTTGGCTGATCGGTCGTGATATTGGACACTTGAGTCTCGCATGACAGGCAATGTGGGGAGGATTCACAGTAATCAACACCGAACTATTATCCCGCGGGAGTTATTGCGCGTGGAATACACATCGTGTCGTGTACTTACCTGTTGCCAGAAGTGAGCAAGCGTGAATAAGGGCTCCTTCTTGTAGAGCCATTCCATGGTCGTTATATTCCGCGAGTTGGCCTCCGCGGAGGCCTGCATGCTGGCCAATGCCGCTGAGTTCAGACTCGCTAGTATGGGCTGCTGGAGCGCCGCTGTCACGACGGAGGTGTTGCTACCGGCTACCAGATTGGCGTGGTACACGGTCGCGGTCGGCGCATCCTCCGAACCACCAGTAGCCAGTAGTTGGGCCCCGATCGGCGCTGACGGCCCCTGGAGCCCCAGTGACGAAGCCACTTTGACGGCTTCGAGCTTCTCCGGCGGACGCAAAACTGCTCTTCCTCGTTTGCCGCCTCCGCCGCCGCCGCCTCCGCCTCCGTTGCCGGTCGCACTCGGGGAACACGTTTTAGGCGGCGGTTCCGTCGGTATCGTCTCTCACCAGCAGTCTACAACGCAACGTGTAGCGTGTCACGCGTCCACTCGGTGGCTCGCGCTTTCGTGTTATTGCCACGCGATGAGCATCGCCGGGTCGACACTCTTTCGCGGCAGCGCGCATTCGACCTTCAGGAGAGAATCCCTCTCGAGAGCCCTTTCCAACGTGCGTTGCAAGCGTTTGATAGTTATCACTCACACAGCACGTATCTCTATCTATTGATTTCTAATCTAAGCGGAGTACTTGGATCGGTCTCTTTCTTGTCTTTTTGTGATCCGAACCGATTGTCTGGATTTAGCACGTCGCGATTCGTTCATAAGCAACGTCGAATCACGACACTTGGAATTCTCACAGATCAAACGGTAGTTTCACATTTGTCGAAAACGTGCACGGTACCGCGGCATTATTAGCACTGTGCTAAACGTCTCGATCTTCCTCGATCGACGGATTGTGTTGATCCGTATCATTCGTCACCGTATCATTAGACTACTATCACTACTATCGGAGGGTCATGGAGCTCCTAGACAGCCATCCGCAGACTCATCAGGATCATGTAGTCTCTCGCAGACAGTCTGTCGATATTCAACGTTATGCTCTTCTTCGTCGTCCTCATGCGAGCAGATCTCTACCCGCTGCCGCATCACACGGCACGCATCACGGAACGGATCAGTGTTTCTCACTCGCGTCAACCGGAGCTCAGTCCGCGACACTCACGCACTTTAGGTGCACAATCGACTACACAAAAAAAAAAAAAAAACAATCACGACGATGTGAACACGGAGTCTCCTCCAGTCACATGAGGAAGATCACTTCGAGATTCGGAACACTTTGGTGACACTTGAAGGTAACACTTGATCGATACGCCGCGCGATTTCGAAATCTGCTCTCCTTGTGTAATCCGTTCTCCAGCAGTCTCTTGAGTCTCATCGATGTCACTCCGATGGCAGGCCCAATGTCTGACGTTCAGTGCCTTCTTTTATTGAAAGGCAGAGTAAAGATGATTGGCGATATTCTCGATATCCTCCTCTTCCTCTTTCTTGGCCTCCTTCCTCGTTTTGCGATTCCACTAACGCACCCGGGTCGCGAACTCTTTCGTCCGTTCTCGTCCGGATGACCTCAAGAAGAGAGAACGAGACCCGTCCTAGCAGGCTCCTAACCTGAAACTAAGAGCTACCGGACGACCGATGCAATGCCTGGAGGAGGCGCAGAGCCAATGGTGGGAGATAGGCGGGATCTGCGACTCGTAGTGGGGTAGTCCAACCCCCCACACAACCAATCTTGGACTCTGGGAGTATCCCCACCACGGTCGCGCCGTCTGATCTCGGAAAGGACACTGCGTGAGTGGGGATAAGCCGCGAGAAGGAGCGGGAGGCCGCGGAAAGAAGCGGAGGCTGGCTAGGTGGTCCCTACCAGAGCGGATCTCATATTTTCAACTCCCCGACCGCCCTTTTCCAACCCCTGCCGATCGCTAGTTCCCTTCTTCGTTCCTTACTCTTTTTCTTCTGATTTTCCATCCTTTCCATCCGATCTATCCCCCTTTCGCTCCCTCTATCAGCCTGTTTCATTTTTTCGACTTTCTATCTCCCTCCTCCTCTTTCCTCCTTCCATCGCCTTTTCTGTCTTCCTCTATTATATCTTTCTTCCTATTTTCTTGGTCTCTAACCCGCCAAAAGTCTTCATCTTAACAGCTTAAGTAAATATCTTTTGTTGAAAAAAAACAGATTAGGTTTCAAATTTGTTTTGATTTTTCGAAAGATGCGTCAACGTTTCTATTAATTACTCCACTGAGCAGAGTTGGAAATTATTTACATCGACAATAATCAAGGTAAACTTAGTAAGAACACTTAGTAAGATCGATTAAATTTTACAATTCTGATTCATATATTTTTTTCTTGGAATTCTTAATTCGCGATCTAATTTGGTCACTATTGAATTGCGACTGAAGGAAAATATTAGACGAGAAGTATAAAGAAGGAAGAAAGATAATTGGGGAGTATAGAAATTACGAAGTATATATAAATGACATGTATTAAAATTCTAAAATGATCACAAATAGTAAGAAATGTTTTTAATTAAGAATCGGAATTTGATTAGCTAATTAAACATTTCTTTATTAAATAAGGTGATACTCCTTATTAAATAAGATGATACTCTTTATACGATAGAAATTACGAAAAAATCATTTAAAAGTAAAATCATTCGAACTGTCATTTACACAAGAATAAAAATTACAGGCTATTTATCCAAAGTCTCCTTCCGCGCGGTGTATCCGCCATTACACTCAATGCCTCTCCTTTCTTAATTACTTGAAAATTACTTCAAAAAGCAGGACAAAAGTTTTCCTTTCTAAATCGTGAACTGTATCTGAGATATAACAGCTTAATCAACAGAAATAACTGTACTTTAATCAATAACATTTGTTTTATTGTTCCTTTATTAAATACGTGGTTAAAAATTGAATTAGCCAAATTTCACTGTTTCATAATTTTAATAGTTTCACTGTACCAATATTTTAGTTCACGAAATAGGCGAGAGATTTCTTAAATTTTTAATTTCTATACGATGTAGCTATTCAAGCAAATTGCATGACTGTAAAAAAAATTCTTCCTATTCAAAGTTCTTTGTATCAAGGGACAAGATACTTTTGAATGCCAAACGAAAAATTTGATGTGTCTATGTATTTTTACGATTCCTAATTAACCTACAAAAAAGAAAGAAAAGAAACTACAGCACTGAGCATTTAATATCAGAATTATTCTTGTCACGGTGTTATGGGGTTGACTTACGCGTCGTAAATAAAAAAATAGGCTAAGGGCACACGCGTGCAGATAATAGCCCACTGAAGGGGTTAGCTAGTACAACCCGCCTTTTACCGCGGTAAACCCACTTCGCACCAGTTAACTTAACTAGTATCGAACCCGGTGCACGTACGAGCACACGTAACGTTCATTTTCATACTGATTGTCTGCAGTATTGACTTTCGACTTTGCAAGATTGATTGTCGCAGTTTGGCTCTAACGAATTCATTTCCGGCGTAATGAATTAAAATTAAACAGTACACGGGAATAATTATAATATCATGTTGACTGTGAAAAAATTTTCTATGAAATTACAAAAATCAAAGTTAAGAAAAGTATCAAATAATTAACATAATTTATATCAAGATATTGTGATATCTGGAAAAAGAAAGTATTTCAAGAAAAGAATGATACAATTATTAATTTAGACTCGTAATTGTTTATTAGAACGTAGCGTTCTACACACATCAATGCGAATAAATTATTTTTTTATTAAATTTTTATCTCAATAATTTTTCAGTGCGAAGAACTTTCTAAGTGTTAATTAACGCATGTTAATTCTGTCGATAATCAATCAGAAACGATATTATTAGAGAGAGAGAGAGAGAGAGAGAGAGAGAGAGAGAAATTAATTTATGAAATCGCTAATTTTTATGATACATTTTTAGCAACTAATAGATTATTGTACAAATCAATGTAGAAAGTTAAGATTAATTGATGAAATGTGATACTGAGTGTACCTATAGTTTACATAACATCAGGCGCATCATCATTAGAATACTGACTAGATACTTGTTGCTCGATTAACGCAACAAAGTTACAACGTGACGATCGATTTTGTACGATTAAGTATTCCGCGCTAATTCGCAATACCATCAGCAGTTTGGGATTGGTTTCTACGGCTAACGCGGCTGTTTAACTCAGGGAATTTCAGCCAGTTGTTATTAATGTGACAATGTCTGCTTTCGTATTCTGCAATGAATATCATTCGTCTCGTTCGTATTCTCAAATGGTGCAGTGAGACAAGTGATAATCGAAAATCGTTGCGACATGAAGAGGAGGATGTCGTTCATGATTATTAACGAAGGAAGTATATTGCATTTGATCAAGAGGCATAAAGTTTATGTCTATTTTAACATAAAGTTATGTAAAATTATTTCTAACAAAACGATTGCTAATAAGACAAGAACTCAACATATTCTCACGGTTAGTCCGATCTTCACGCGAAATATCTGTTATTTTGAAATCACTTGTAGTGCTCAGACGCGTTTCGTCATAACGAGTGACAAGAACAATTCGCGCGTGATATTGATTGAGCTATGAAGTTCGCAGAAATTTCATAAACTTGTAATTTTCGGAGCCGATGCGATGCGGTTACGTTAACTCGCGCTGTCGCGGGCCTAACGCGCGAGATTTATCAGGCGCGACTAAACCACGAAAATACTACACGATTGCTGGCTTGTAAGCGTACTTTACGATCACCCGGTATAGCGCGAGGATTAGTTTGTCAACGCCGGCCGGCGTGCGCGACGTGCGTGTGCATCCGCGTACACGCGTGTATACGTGTTGCGATGGGCAAGATTAGCAATTCTCGCGTCTTCGACGGTTAGAAATAATGCGTTGTCCACACTTGGATTCATTGTTGGCAAAGCCAGCATTCCGAACCAACGGCTACGTTATGTAGTGGTATAATGCGCTGGTTGCGCATACTCGCACCGCCAATGATGAGCGTGGATTCGAGTTTTAAATAGATCGTAGACATCCTGAATAGAAATAAAATGTTCTTGCAGAAATATATCTTGGAGCAAAATTAAGAATTTTGAATCTGCATTTAGCGCAAGAATTATAATTATGTATCCGCGAGTTATGTACTTGTATAGCTTCGACAAAAATATAGCGCACACAATCCTTGCAGTTTCAATTTAATTCTTTAAAAAGGAAGTTAATTTAATAATAAATTAAATTTTTCGATATTTATACATTTTTTTTCCATCGACATGGAGATAGCTTAATTATATCACGATAAAAGTATCTCTAAATCTATAGTTTGCTACATAACATATATATTTTTGTAAAAATCTGGAAATTTTGAATTTATAATGCAACAGTGAGTTCTAAAGAGATATTGGAAGACAACTTAATAAAATGACTTTTTATTTGATTATAATACCGAGAAGAGATGTGCATTAAGTTT